TCAGCCACTTACTCGCTATTTGTTGAATGACAAACTTGTCCACTGTGTGAAACCCTGTTCTTCTAGCGTTCAGTTAAACTCAAGTTTAGTGGCTGGGAATTCTGATGTTGCTCCAATTTTCATGTATACAAGTAATAAAAATTAAATCGAATTCAGCCTGAATTTAATTACAGTTTTAATGTATCGTTTCTTTCTTTTCACTCGGCTTAAATTTCCATAATTCGATCATTCGTCCTCAGCCACGTCACATTGCCCTCTTTTGTGACCAAGTCTTCTTTTGCCACATTTAGAGCAGCGAGGAGGTCATCTGCCACTGTTAGACGTCTGCCGAGTTTGTCTCCCTGAATCATCTGATGTCACCTGAATTTCATCTTCTAAAATTTAAACCATACATACATTGGGAGTAAAGTAGGATATACCAAGGCCACACATTTTAGATAATTACTCAAGAGTAGAATGCCATTTAATAACTCATTTTCTTACCTGGGCAGGTTGGAGGGCAAAGAACCGTTGTTTTCTCTTTTCTTGTCTGGTATTTTGATATGGCGTCTTCTCTGCTTTCTCTCTCCAACATGGTGTTTATAGGGTCTGGAACCTCCCCTTTCAGTTCCTCTTCCAATAATTTCAGCTCTGCCCTGGGTGTCTTGCTTAGAATGTCGTAGATGTCAGCAACATAACCTGGATAAGAACCAAATACCTCGCTTAAGATGTTTGATTATCTTGAAACAGTATCGACTTTTTACATTGTTATTAGTCAGATGGAACGATCTACAAACACATTCCGTAACACGTGGCTATGGTGCACTTTTTAAAGAATTTTCATAGTACTTTTTTGCTATTACCATAGTTTGCTGAAACCTTTGCTTCTCTCACTGTGGCCTCTCCATCCTTAAACTTGGGGTATGTCTCTCGGAAAATTGGATTTCCAGCTTCATCTACTTTTGTTTCCCTTTTTAAGGTGTTTTAATTAAAGTGTAGGGCAACCAGTATTGTTCAGTGAAAATACAATAACAACATAAACACAGAGTGTAGCTCCCGACTGGAATGTAAGAAAATTAGAGCAAATAAAATAGGTTAAGTTTGGGTTTTGAAAAGAAGCACAAGTGGCAGAACTGAAACAAAAGAAGTTTGGAAAGGAAAGCAATTCCCTTCGGTTCCTCTCGAATGTTTTTTCCTTGTAGATCCAACCTGTAAAAAATGATTGAAAGGAAATACTCATTTAATCATAGCATCTGAAATAATGAAATAACAATAAAGAAAATGATTATCATTTTTATTGTTTTTCTCAGGGTGTTGCCAGTTTTTCAACTTGTTGTAAACCTGGCTAATTGTGGGTTGGGATTTTATTCTCACATACATCCTGAAAAATGCTTTTTTATAATAATTCTGTTGATTGCACACATGACAACTTTGAGCCCTTAAGCTGTCTAGCCCACCCCAACGATGCATAATTTATTACAAGTGGTTGAGTGGACAAACCAAACATTTTTAGGCCTGGGACTTCCAGTCTATGGGCTGGCTATGCCTCTTCTTTTTTTTTTTTTTTTTTTTTTTTGCAATTCTTATCTGAGTAAATTAAAAAACAAATTTCATGTACTCTTGTTTCTAAATAGATCCTCTCATACTGGAAGTTAGTTTTAGGCCTAAATCACTTCCCAAAGGATACTTAGAGCTAAGATGTTAAAATGCAATAAATTTTGCATCTTTGTACCTTGGGTTCTGATGAGTCTTCACCGAGTCATCATCTTCCTTTAGTTTTTTATATGCATCTTCGATTTCTTCAGGACTCCATGTAGGGTGTTCATCACACTCAAACTCCTCATACGCGCCGTCCTGCATTTCCTGCTCATCTTCTGATTCATCCTCTAGCCCTAACTCTGTCTCATTTGTTACTGGCCATGGATCAGTTTGAATAGCTTAAACAAATAGAGTTAAAAAAATTCTATCACCATTAAAATTTTAATTATTATTAAATAATTAAATATTGATAAAATATAATAATAATATAAAGATAGGCAGTTATGCCTATATGACTCATCAACATCAGTTATTGTTCACTCACCAGCATTCACCATCAGCAACTGTTTCGGCTCTTGTATGCTCTTAAAGGTTTCAAGCCACTGATCTTGATTGGAGATTAACTTACTCTTCAGTCTTGTGACTTTGCCCCTTAACTGAGTCACCTCACTCCTCAGGGTTTTGCATGTTGTGCAATTCCCAGCATGTCCAGTTGGAGTATCCTACAAAAATCAGACTTTGAACATTAATACAGGCTGTAATAAAAAGACTTTAGAATTTGTGTGTTTCAGTATTGCTGTGAAATAACTGCACATGTAGTTTTCCATTGTTATGATAATACAAAGATGCAAATATACATTAATTAGAGTTGTGCGCCTACCATAGAAACCTGTTCAAGTTCAGGAATCGTTAATGATTCATCAATCTGCATAACTTCATCCATATCCTGCACTTTTTCGATTCCCTCAGCCTCCAGGATCTGCATGGTCTCAGTAACCTCATCAGTGCCGGAAATCCCTTGGCTCTCGAGAGCTGTCTTATCGCCAGGAGTACCTAGGACCTCTGAAGCCATCTCGGCATCAACACTTATCTCACCCGTCTCAGTCTCAGGGATGCAGCCCTCCTTTTCAGGATTTACCTCAAGCAAAGAACCTTGACTTGTATTCAGAACACCCTCGACTTCTGGAGACCCCTCAGGGTTGAGATTGGGAGCCCTCATAGTGTCAGCACTCTCCTCAGGTGCAGAACTTCCTTTCAAAGAGATCACCTCTTCTTCAGGATTGTCTTCTTCCTCTGCATCCTCATTAGTAGTTTGACCAGGCAGAATTTCATTTAGTAGCTAAAAATGAAAATAGGTATGACCATTTTTTATATCTCCCCTTCAAAACAAGTTTAAATTTGAGCTTTATGTCGATGTTTTCAAAACTAGAAATGGAAGCGAGGTTTAACCACATCTTTACCTTAAAATCTATGCATCATTTGCAGACAGTGAAAATAGAATTAAAATACAAACGAAAAAAACCCCGCAAACAGTAACTGAACTTATAGAGTGTAGAAATCAGACTAAGTCCATTTTTGGTCGTTTTAAAAGACTCGCGTGTAACTCTTAATTTGCTGTAAGATTTCTTGGAGGGAAGTTTGGAGTACTGTCAAATCTCAAAGTAACAGCAAGATAATCTCTCAAGAAATAGAGAGCCGGATTTCTATGTAGCTTCACTTTTTCTAAATTTTACGCTTGAGTGGAAAGGTCTGGGAATTGGGGAATTGACTTCACGTCCACTCAGCGCGAATACCCATTTTTGCGCAAATGCCCGTTTTACTATAACTATGAGAAGAAAGAAGAAAAGTATGAAAACACATGCGACAATATGGGAAGTCCAAATAGTCAGAGCATTCATTACACGAATATTGATCAACGATGCCAGAAAAAATCATGTCACAGGTAAATGAGGAAATAAATATAATGTTGATAAGCACAGCGCAAATACTTTCACTCACCGATCGTCGACTCCGCTTTAATAGTGTTTGAGAGGAACTTTTCCAAATGGTTGGAAACGTCCCCTTCTTCAAATTCCTTTTCATGCCTTTCATCGGAAAAGCAAGCGTAAAACAATCCCTTGTGAAATGCTCCGAGCACACAGCAAATTTGCCCACTGGGTTGAAATCTTTCCGATGAATGGACACGAACCTTTTCCACTTTAATCTAACGCTGCCCGAATCAGGAGAATTATGAATAGAAATCCCCAATTCATCGTTCTTTACGTTTCCACAGTCCTGAACGACACAATGTCTACCAGGCATACTTTCGCTTTAAGTCAAAAAAGCAAAGAAGGAACCTCCAAAAGCTTCCAAAAATATCTCGTCCTGCATGCGAAATTAGCCACGTTTGTTTGCCTTGTTTTGCCGCGTTGATGTTTCTACGTCACATCTCGCCCCAACTCCTTCAAATACTACTCCCGGTCATTTTTTGAATCGAGTAATGGCGGCAAGACATTTACGAAAATTGCCGTGCAAATAAACACACTTCCAGATCACATTTGGACTCCAAACTTGGCACGGTAAGTCACTTTTACGTACATTTTCGAAATATGTAATCAAAAACAAATTCCCAAATTTGATCGTAGTAGCACTTTTAAGCTTCATCTCTCTGGATCTTACAAAAGATGAGACTCCAGACCACGCGGTTGATTGTAAGTGACTGATATCTGTTTTACGACATCTCTCAGTATCTTTAAGTATCTTTACTGGTTAATTAACAGTCATTAAATGATTTCTCAATTGTAAACTGAATTCTTTGCTAACAAGTTCTTATGAATGCGAAGACAGTTGTGCTCGATTCTTACGCCTAAGTGCCGTTTGAACTCATTATGAAGAAAAGAACTCACCCTCCAGTCGACATTGTCAAACGATGTGAGAGCTCTGAGAGCACATTGCTGTGGCAAATCAAAGAGTTCTTGAGTGATCACATGCTAATTGTAACATTCGAGGCCATTCAAAGCTATCCTCGACAAACATTGAACAACTGACGATGTTTTGGAACAAAAAAAGGACTAAGATCGGAGAACATCGGGATCAAAAGTGGCCGCGTTCATGGTGGGTGGCTGCTTTGATTCTATTGTCACACTCACTCAATCACTCACTCTTACAACGTGATAACATAGTCGCCATTTGCCTCAAAGAGGCAGTAAGCCACAAAAACCACAATTCAGGAAACTTTGATGCTGCAAGGATGTGTTTGCTACACCTCGAAAAGCAAAAAAATGTTCTTCAGATTTGGGCGTAGTCTTCTTAACATTTGGTGGTGTGCAGTAGATTTGTCTGTTGACTGCTGGGGTCCATCTTTGAAAAAAGCTTAGGACAATGTCCACTTCCTACAAAAATGCCAAGACTGACTGCTTCCCTACCAAAGCAGGCCACAAAAAAGAAGAAGAAATCCAACATTAGGAACACTGCTACAACAACCTAACAGCAGTGGTGATGCAGTTAACCATGAAGGCTGTAATTTATGGATGCTTTACCTGATCTGAAGAATACGTGTGGTGACTTTTGTTCACATTGGCATTTATTTTGCCTAGTTTCTGTAATTCTAAGTATTCACAGAAATGTCACTAATGAGGTTGGACTCACTCAACTTCTCAGCAAACAAACCTTATTGGAAACTTGTAAAGGTCATCCACGTCCCACTCACCATCCAACAGAGAGAGTCACTGAGCATAGATGCAACTCTTTTTTCTTGGAATTCGTCAAGGTACTGGGAGCGGTAACGGTTTGTTGACCAAGTGAGTTCACTAGCTGTATTAGTTTTTTTTTGGGCAACGACTGTTCCACAAATACTTTTTTTTCATAAATTTCAATTACTCTAATTAAAAAAAAAGCTTACAACAAATTATTTTTCGTAGACTAGGCACGTGATGACACCCTGCTTATCTGCAGTTGGAACATAGTTAAATGTGGTATTCAAAACATTCCTATGGCAAGTTAGAAATTAACTTAATGACACCGCACTTTTTAAGAGCCAATGTCTGTAATTTTCGAGAATCGGTTGACAGTCGTGAATTTTTGAATTTCTTCATATTTTGCCCAAATAATCTCTATAGTACACTTATTTCAAAAATCACATTAAAACTTGTGACGGCTTTTTATTTTTTCAGGAATCGGGCAAAGTTTGAAAAACGGTAAATCGGCGCTCTTTCGAGTATGAAATTAGCGAAAATTGAGCATTTTCTTCGCGCTCGTACATAAAAACGGGATAATATCTCTAAATGAAATCAAGTCACAAAACAAACATAGACTTGTGCTTTATAATTCAGCAATTAACTTTAGATAAGCTGTTTGAATGTGACTGTGCCGGCCGCAAGAAGAAACACCGTTTCGGCTCTTTTCAAAAATGGCAAATTTGGGCTAACTTCACCATCGAAAAAACCCAATTGGTACATAGAATTTCAACATGAAATAAACACTGTTATCAAGCAAATTGTTTGCTGTTTCTTGTGTTAAAAAATCTCTCGCGGCATTACAAAAGCGCGTCGCTGAGACACCGAAACGTGGAGGATATTTTCGCACGTGGGAATGGTGACACAAACAAGCCGCAATGAGGGTAGACAAGTGCTATTGTAAACTTAGCTTCTTTAACAGAGGTTCACAATGCGAAAACTTCTTAAAACCTTTTAAATATGCTTTCAGTTTGTTATAAAGGGCTATGTAGATTAACACTGTATTTGATCGGGTGATTGCGTGCAACATTCAAGAAGACAACGCACTTCTGGTAGTGTAAATATTGACCCTGAGTTTCTAACTTTTAAGTAAAAGCCGCTAAAAATGGCGTGGTATTTCTGAATGAGACACCAGATCTATAGGAATTTTCTTACCTCAGTCATTTCAACTGCAAATAGCCGCAATTCACTGAAACACTTTTAAAAATTGTTTACACCTGACTTTGTCGTTTAAAACTGGGCGACTTTATAAACCGTATGTTGTTGAAAGTATCGTGTGTGATTCGAGTCTGGTCACGCAACTCTGCAGACAAAGCTAAATCACGCCCGAGTGTAAAAAGAATACGTAAAATGCTTTAAAAAGCACCGGTTCTTGTTGTTTTCAGTAGTTTTATAACTTCCACAAAACCTGTCAATCGAACTAAACTACCGGGCGATTTTCTGCTACACTGTAAATATTTGATTTTCAAATGTGCAACAAACTTGAACCGAGAAAGAAAAAAAATCAGGAGGTGTAAAACCTTTTTGTTGTACCTGTCTTTGCTTGTAATAAACTAACTAATCCTAACTTCGCTCAGTGTACAGATATCTCTGTCATGCAGAATAGGTGACCATACGTAATCCACATACAAAATAAAAGTTGAGAAAAAAAAAATTTCTCTCGTTTGTTCATTTTGAAACAGCAAACTACTTAGATTCAAACTGATAATTCTTCATATTGGGAAATGAGCAGATAAAAACCATCCCAAATAATTTGAAGACAAAATAAATAGAATATGGTGAGGAAAATATGTCATTTGGTATAATTCAAGTTGCCGTCATTCTATTAAAGACCCTCTATTAAGGCTAAAGGGTACCCTATGTCCATTTGCGGAACGTTTCACGTCAAAATATTGCGGAAACTTCTTACGCGTTAGAATCATTTCAGAAATTTCTTCACGCTTACGTATACGTTAACAATTGGGTAATTCTCCGAAAACTGAAAAATGCCTGAATTCAATTGAACTCAAGTTTTAACTAACTTCTTTTCGCTCCAAAAGTAACTGGTTTTCCTGGAAATCTAGGACAATATACTTCTTATCACCTAATTGACTTAAGGCAGTCTTTATACACGCTAACATTTGTCTGCCTGAAAAAAGAAGGCTATTGAACAGATCTTTTTGCCTTACCAAATTCGCTGATAATGAAGTCAACTTAAAAGTTCACAAATCACGTTCAAATCAAACCATTGTTTACGGGTTACGCCCAAGGGACCCAAGGTGGCTCCATTGTCATTACAGGCGCAATTATGAACTATGACAATGAATAATAATGAATGAATGAGCTACAAATTTTTTTCGATTTTTCGATGGGTATGAAAATTTGAAAGACCTGCAGGTATCATTTGGCAATAAAATGAAACTATATAAAATATTTTCATTTTACTGCTGGTAAGAATTTTTTTACGAGTAAGTGCTGAAGTGGACTCAGTCTACTTTTGAAAGAAAGGTAATGTGTATATTGCAATATTGCTCCGAAGTTATCGTTCGTTTAAGTCAAAGTTTTAAATGCGCTTGTTAGATCAACGGTACAGTGCCACCGAAATTCCAAAACCCCTTTCATCCACACGTGAATAATGGTCTTGGGATGTTAACCCTCGGACGTACAAGAAGGGGAGTGGATGCCACCCGCCCCATTAGGTTTTTCTGAGTTTTTTCCTAAAGAATAAAACATCAGCACCTGACGTTTTCAGTAGCTGTTCGTTCATCCCTCGCGCAGGTTTTTGAGACAAGTTTGGTCATGGTCAATTGCTATGGTTACGAAAAGGGCTTTCCACTAAAGGTAAACTCGTTTCAAAATACTGCAACATATCAAAAACTCCCGGAAGGGGTTCTATTCATCCCCTCCCCCGGTTGTACCACGGCAGGGGTATGAATTTGCGTGTACGTCCGAGGGTTAACAACCACGAATCGCGAACAAATAAAAACTTAACTTGAATTACATGAGAAAATCAGTATAGCTCCAGTCACTGGGAGTAAGCTAATTTGTTCACTTTCGGGGGTTACAACCGCAGCTATTTACAACTTCTTCTAAAAGTTCCACATATGGGGCCTTCCTCCTCACTGCTGGTACAGGTGTATTCAGCTCTAAGCGTTCGCAAAGATGTTGGAGCAGTGCCACCTTCGTTTTCCGAAACTCAGATTTATTGTTGACCAGAGAGCATACGTTGTACTGGTCAAAACAATGGGATGACGGAGCTGCAGGGAAGAAAGCACATTTTCTTTTGCAGTAGCGAAATTGCTTTGCTCCTCTACAGCTAAGGCGTCCTCTTCCGAGACCTCAACCTGTTGCTGACGCACTTTTAGTGCCAGTCGCGAGAAAAAGGAGGACACTTGCTGTGGTGTCAGGAATTCAGAAACAACGAATAACCTTTCCCCGTCTTTGCCCCTGGAACGGCGCATTTCCTTCGCTACAAAGGCAGAGTCAATCTTACTGCCGGTGGACTGGCCGATATTGAACTTTTGCTCCAAGTAGGTTTTCTGCTTTTGGTTGAAACGGTATGGTTTCTTCACTTGTTTCAGCGCCCACCCTTCCTTGACCTCCTCACGTTGATGTGAACTGCCAACTGAGCTTGGTACTGCTCGCAGTGCAGGAATAAGCCCTACGCCCTCCTGTAGGCGAGCGGCGTATTGATGTTTGGCCAAATCCATCAGGGTGTGCCTTTCTGGAGAGAGGGTACAGGCCTCTAACGACAGGTGACGTTCTAGGGCAGATGCTCTTTGAAAAACTTCAACACAACCTTCTTTAGGGCACGAATAAACACTGGACGGATACCTTTCAGGGCTATTTTGCTGAACTTCGGAAACTTGGGGGGCTGCCTGGAGTCTAGCATGCGTTGAAGCCGATTTTAGAGTAATTGGTTTAAACCCACCAGCCGAAAAAGAAACAGTAAGCCAGTTATAGGTCACATCTGTCAAAAGAGTGGGAATATGAAGCATATGTTACAGCAGAGTTACTGAAATGAGTAATTGAAAAAAAAATTTATTAATTCCTTGAGGTGTAGTAGCAAAAACCTTATCCCAGTGACGTTAACAAAATTTTCAAGAAAATTATATTAAAGGAAAAAAAATATTTCTCTTATGTCTCTGGGTTACGTGCTGGGTTTTACAAAATACTGCGACAATAGCTTGTACCATACCTACATACGGGAGTAGCAACGGAAGTCTGCTATCCCCACCAGTTAAGGACATTCTCCCCTTTTTATTTTCAACTTCCCAGAAATGACAGACCTGGAACCTTTTCCGAGGCTATGATCTTTCCAGGACCGATCGCATAAGCACGCCAAGCTTGAAGGGAGTCCTCCGTAAACAGAAAGTTATTCAGCTTGCTTATTCCAGATATCTTTCGAAGCTCCACAGTTTCTTCTATTGAAGGCAGGATAGCAACTCGGACACCTTCCACTCCTCCATAGGATAACAAGGCCTCCTTCATCTCCGCTGCTGTTGTGACATTGTTGCCCTCGTTAATGTACGTTCGGATGTGGTTTTTGCAAGTGGCCGCCAACCTGTCCGCCGCTCCCTTACCTCCTTGGGGGTCACTAAAATCCATACGTACAACTTTGATACCGGTTGACTGCTCAAAGGTACGACAAGCAAGGATAGTATTAGCGCAGTGGTAGCATCCTGCGTTGTCTTGCCGTAGATGGGCCTTGGTAATCTCAGGGTATTCTTCGTGCAGTGTTTTTAATACGTGCTGCATCATCAACACCACAGCAGTACTGTCCTGACTACAAGACTGCACAACATGAACAAACGCCTGTGTCTGGATTTCGGAGCCGTTCACCCGTCTGAATACAACAGCGATGTGCCATGAAATCCCTCTCTTGCCGAACCAGTCTTGCTGTGATTCTCTATATAGCTGAGGGAGGAATTTCATGGCCCAGTCGCTAACAATAAGAACGGTGTCGTTGTTCAACAGTTCAAGCACATCCAGCCTCGATTTATCCTGCTGTACGGACCGTAATTGATGCGCCTTCCACGCCTGCACTGATCTCTTGGCCGCCTCGAACAGGAACAGAGCTTCATCACGTTGTTCCTCGTCAGGAAATACGGCATTTTGCGCGGCTGTTCCAATTTCATATATTGCAACATCGAGGGCATGACGCTGATCACACAACTCCTCGTGATTGTGCTCGCAATGCTGTCTGAAGGAAGACTCGGATACGTCACTCAGAGCGTAAACGCTGCAGTGATCGGCCACTCTTGCTTCACTGTTGATATGCACCTTAAATGATAAGAAGATTCTTTGTTACTTTCCTATTTTAGCACCCTTACTGTTGAATACTGCTGTTGGTGTTGACGTGAAAAAAAGATTTTAAATTGTAATTCCTATTAAGATATTTATTTAGTTATACGGAAATCCTAAGATTAGGATGACTCTTAAGTCAAAGGCACGGAAAAAATGTGCCCATGATCAAGGAAAAAGGGAGAAGTGGAGGGAAAAAGGAAGGGAGGGAGAAAACTTTCGCAGACAGTCGTCTAAAAGTAGGAAACGTTCTAACGTGTATTCAAATTCTCAGTGGTTGTCTTAAGGATGACTGATAATGACTCACGCAATTAGGTGATGATGTTAACTGTCAAATGTGATCAATCAGAGCGTATACCAGAAGCTGGGATAACGGAGAAGGCCGTTAAAGAAATGATTACAGGCTCCACCTCCTTCCTCTCCCCAGTTTCCTCCCGTTTTATTTTCGAGTTCGCGCTTCCTCAATTTCGCGAACCCGACTATCTTGGAGCCTGAAACAGGCTAAGAATAAAGGGTTTTCACTATAGTCAACGGGTTACGCTGTCGCGCCCGTCATGCTGTTTTATAATTGATTATGGCATGTAAAAGTTAACCCTCGGTTAACCCAAGGTTTTCTGAGTTTTCTCCTAGAGGATAAAACATTAGCACCTGATGCTTTCAGTAGCTGTTCGTTCATTTTGAGTCATGTTCAGTGATGGTCAGTTTCTATGGTAACGAGATATTAAAGTAGGAGGTGGTCAAGCCATTTTTGAGCAAAAGTACATGTTTTGTCAACTTTTTTCAACAATAGCAGGAGCCCATAACCCATGGGCTCCTAACAATAGAAGAAAATCTTGTGGCTAAAATCATGCAAAGTGCTTATTTATTATTTTTTCTTGTAGAGAAGATCAAAGGCTTTCCACTCAAAGTAAAATTGTTTCGAAATACTTCAACATACCAAAAACTCTAGGGGGGATCCATCCACCCCTCCCCCCTTGTACCACGGTGGGGGTATAAATTTACATGTACGTCCGAGGGTTAAATAAATATCTTATCATTATTATAGTAATTGTTTACCGCTACGATAATAACGTTATCCTGGTTAATGTAAGTATCATCTAACGCGCGATTTTTTTAAATTCGAAACGCAAATACAATATAGTTTGAATCATTAACAGTTACCTTAAAATCACTCTTTAGGTAGAGCTTTTCTGCTTTTAGCTGATCTTTAATTCTTCCGCCCCACTCTTCTCCGTTAGTTTTGAGTAACGAAACGTTATCTGCTATGGAAGCAAGGTCATCAAATGCTCTCCCTCCTTCCGCCGCGAAATAATCTAGCCCCTGTAGGGACGTGCGGACAGACGCACTACACTCTGACAGAATTCGCAACAGGGTACTTCGACTTGAAGGCTTAAAATTGGCCTCAGCACAATACTGATTGTACTGTGTCACAATCCGTTCAGGTATCATTGTGCGCACTATGTTTGGCACAGTGATTACCTTCCCGGAAGAGAGGTGAAGGTGTTTTTCCCCAAATGGAAAATCTTGTACTAAATGAGGGCTAGTTATAAAACCCAGAAAGTGATCTAATTGTTTTGGCTCTATTTGAAGTCTCGGAGCCTTCTTTTCGGGTACGGGAGCATTTCTTCCATGCTGAACACCGTGAAGCTTGGCCATCGTATATCGATACTGGGTCAAACCAGGTATAAATGTGGAGATGGCTTTAAAGGAAGCCACTCCTGTCATCACGGACAATACCTGACGACGAGTATCCCAGGAGGCTGCGTTACTGTATGACTCAGCCAGAGCCTCTAGGTATCCTACCTCTGAAGGTAGAGATGCGGCATGAAGACCCAGCTGCCGGTTCACAACATCAGATGACTGGAGTGCTTCCCACAAATGGGGTGCGTTAATTGGCGAAATGGTTTTAAGGACGGTGGAAACTATGTCGCTGGATCGCTGAATGTATCGGGACCGTGTTCGGCTGCTTACCTCGCCCCATTCCAGCCAAGGTCTTCCAAGCGGTTGAATATTACATTGGTTTAGAAAAGTATTGAGCAATTCACGCGGCTGCGTTCCAGCGGTTGAGGAGCCATTCCTGTCTCCAGTTGATGAAGCAGTACTTGCGGTCTCCGGAGAAAGAAAAGATTCATCTGCTATCTTCATGTGGCTGAAGCCGGTTGCTAGCTCGTCGGATGTGCTACTGGTACTGACCTTTTCTTTCCTGTAGTGATAAAAGAAAAATGCACTGCTTATAAAACATATCAGCTCACTTCACAGCCGAGCTAAAATGCATTGAATCACACGAACTTTAGTATCTTCCTTCCAACTTGCGGTAACATCACTCATCGAACGTCGTCGAGTGTGGTTACAACCCTCTAGAAAACAAGACAAGAGACTTTTTACCTCTCTTTGAAGCTCTGTTCCAGGCGTTCAGATGGTAGAGAGTGGTACGAAATCACTCCCCTTTGCGCCTCACTAACTGTTTGATCGCCTAGAACAGGCTTCGTCCTTTTTCGTACATCCTATTTTTTTCAACACAGAGCAAACAAAGAACACTCAATTTGAAATGTAGCTTACCTCTTCGACCTGTGCAGACTCAAGTCTTTCTTGGTCTTCGGCTTGGGTACCGCCACCGGTTACTTCCGGTGCAGAATCCGCAGGTTCACGGGTGACCTCTTCACTAGCAACGAGGCCGACTAAATGCTCTCGGCATTGCTTGCAGATTGCTGAAGTTTAAAAGAACAAACAATTTGTTAGAAATTAATATTTTCGAAAAGCAAAGTTCAGAAAAAACAGTGTACCGTCCTTTAAACATAACCTAGCATAAAGTATATGAAGTGATTGATAAGGCAATTTTTTTAAAATTAAGGTAAATGTAGGGTTGATCCTCAAAGCAAAAAGTACCCAATACCACCCTACCGACCCCTCCTCCTCCTTCTCTGAGCTAAAAATAATAGCCATGACGTAATGGTCAGCTGAGAGCGACTTTGACGTTGACTAAAATAATAACATAAAAAAAATACTTACGTGAGCCCAAAGGAACGAGCACCTTCGTTGCTCGCAAAATATACGCGGATATCATCTTCTTCAAGCCGCATTGAGCCTTCGGGGTGCCTTTGTGTACAGCCACCCTATCAGGGACGGTACAACGTGATCTATTGCACCGCCACCTGGTACCAAACAGTTCGCGATGGCGAGGACAAACTGTCATTTTAATGTGTAAATCTTGAGGCTCAAACACGCCTAATGTAGAGATAGAAGATGTTGTTTATCATAAGCACTAATTAAAAAGAGAATTTTAAGGTAGAATTGATCTTTGTTTATTGCAACAACTCAGTATCTTACCTGCTCGCGCGAGTAGCAAATTAGCCTCGCTGTCAACACAGTCGTCGCTGATCTTGCAGTAAACCAAGTGACTGACGATATCTTTTGTACAATCGCCGATTGCAATGCATTCAACATTCGCAGGATTAGTTGTACTGGGGCCACAGGGGCCAACAACCAAGTTTGAATATGTACAAGACGCCATAAGATTGACTTGTACCACATAACTTTAGACCGTGTAGACTGGCCAGGAATTTTCTTTTCGGGCGCGTCACGCGTCACGCACTTCCGGAATGACATATTCTTCCCTTCGTGGTGACAGAAAACTTTGATACGACCTGCCTGCTGCAAGTTCCAGGCACAAACTCTTTAAGAGCGGATGTTTCTTCGTCTAGCATTCATGAAATTAGGGTAAGTTAATATCTCCCCTGCTTTTAAGGTTTCGACGGATACGAATATAATTATAGTAAGAGTATAGGTTGACAATATTTGAACTGCAAGTGTATCTGTGCATTATGGTTTATCCCAAACATCTGTTTCAAAGGCATCGTGTTTGAGCTGACAGAAATGCAGATTTATAGTCGGTAGCCGTTAAAACTCTGAAAAACGTTCAAATGTCGAGGAAACTATATTTTCCAACAGAGAATTTTTTCGAAGCGTAGTAACTTGTTTGTTTCACGAGCTCTCGTGGTGTCAAAATACCCTTCAGATTTTGGTCTCTCGACGGGGCGCGTATGGAATGCCGCCAGAAATTTTTTAACACAAGAAACAGCAAACGATGTGCTTTAAAACAGTGTTTGTTTCATGTTGAAATGCCACGTACCAATTGGGTTTTTTCGATGGTGAAGTTAGGTCAAATTTGCCATTTTTGCAAAGAGCCGAAACCGTGTTTCTTCTCACGACCGCCACAGTCATATTTAAACAGCTTATCTAAAGTTAATTACTGAATTATAAAGCACAAGTCTTTGTTTGTTTTGTGACTTGATTTCATTCAGAGATATTAACCCGTTTTTATGTACGAGCGCGAAGAAAATGCTCAATTTTCACTAATTTCATACTCGAAAGAGCGCCGATTTACCGTTTTTCAAACTTTGCCCCATTCCTGAAAAAATAAAAAGCCGTCACAAGTTTTAATGTGATTTTTGAAATAAGTGTACTATAGAGATTATTTGGGCAAAATATGAAGAAATTCAAAAATTCACGACTGTCAACCGATTCTCGAAAATTACAGACATTGTCTCTTAAACCGTGACAAGGATAAATTAGTTTTGTTTCCCACTGACCCTTTCAGTTATCTAATTCTGATTTGCACGTGCAAATGGCTAGTGAATTCACATGCGTCAATTCATATCCTTTGAAAATCTCGACACACAGTTAGCCATTTAAGTTCTCGCAAAGCCAGGGTAAAGGTTTTGAAATTTTAACCAAGTTCAGTCTATGAAAAGCTATAAAGTTAGATAAGCATAGTTTTAGTTCATTGTTACCGACCTCGTCCACTGAACACGGAGCTCTATTGCTCTCATTCAAAATGATAATTATCAGAAACACATGGCAAAGTGTAATCATAACAGAAAGTTTGAACTTACTTGGCTCTTAAACTTCGCTTTTTCTTCTTCCATTCCTTCATTCCCAATGACAAAGTAATAACCTTGTTGAGTTTTTGGACATGCAAGTCGACTGTACTGCGAACTTAGAGCTTAAAGACGCCAAAGTGAAAAGAACAGTTCATGCTTTACCATCCAACTTTCATGTTATCTGCGCGCTTTTTTCCCATTTTTTCTATAAATATATCACAGAAGATTAGTTCCACCAATGAATTACATCACTCCTCTGAAAACCGACACCTAGGAGTGGGAAAAATAGTCCGTTTTTTTAAGGACTTCAAGAAAAATATATAAAATAACGAGCAGATTTAAATGCATTGAGGCAAACTGGGCGTTATTTAAAATGATTATTTTTTTAAATTTATTTTTTGTCATTTCTTACTTTTTTCTTCTATTTATTTCAGTTTTCTTTATTTTGTATAATATTTCCCTGCACAGTTTCACCCCACAACTATGATTAAAGCCGTAGGCAAAAAAGAGCTTACCTCTCCATTGTGTTCTCCAAATATCTTCAACATCAACAGTGCTGTAGGTCTCTTGAAGAACGATAATATCATACCTCTCTTCATTTAGCCAGGTAAAAAGGGCTTTCCTTTTCATGGCGGATCAAATCCCTGGACATTAAGAGAAAGTAATTTAAAATCCAAAAATTCTTTCATGGATGGGTAAAACTAAATGGTGCGCATGTAAAATTAATAATTTTCCACCGCAGCAGTACACCAAAAAATTGAGAAGAGGTAAAAACTGAGGTACAAAAACACACGACACGTAGGTAGAAAACACACACACTACTCCCAATTGTTCTAACCTACACATGCCCCTCCCGTTACAAGAACAGTCTGATGAAAAGTATAAACAAGTCAATTAAAATAAACTAGGTCTAAAAACCTAGATTTGTCTATTAGGGAACAAATCGGCCATTGGTAAATAATTTATCAGGCTCTGGTTTGCTAAAGAAAGCAATCTTTCCCTCCTCTCTTGCTTTTTTAAGACGTGGTCGCTGCTTTTTTCTTCTTTTGCTTATTTCATTAGGAAAATCTGCGTAGACCGTAATATCGATATCATCTGCCAGCTTGGGCACTCTTCTAAAAACCAGCTCACAAAGCTGAGCGAAGAAACGGTCAAATAATTTACTTTCTAGATTCTGTAACCTGCTTTCTACCCCTGCGAGCATTTCGAAGATCGGTTCCAGTTGAGTAGCAATTTTTTCTGTCATGTTCAAGGACTCCAGAACTTGATCGTTGTCGCTGAATACTATGCTAATGTTCGGTTCCAAGCATGGACTGTTGCGGGCCTTTTTTCCTTCTGGAGAGCAAATGTCGTCATCAGAGCTGATGCTAACACTTGCCTTCACTTTCCGTTTACAACTTTGAGCCATAAGGCGGGTTCATACTAGCGAAGTAAGTAGACCTTAAGTACAGCAGGAGCCCAAGTACACTTGAGAACATTAATGTTTTCTTAATGTGATAAGCGTTCACATTTAGAATTCAGAGTATGCTTTGAAGCAATCGGGGTTGTCAATCAAGTTACACGGTAAAATTTCGCGCGCATGAAATAGCGTGATTAGGATTTTAACAGCGATATGCACAAAACATAAGTACAACATGCAACCTCGAAAACGTCGAATTGCTTACCTTGTGTTCCTCATAATTTTCTTACTGCCACGACAGAGAGCTTTGCTATTACAGCAATTTTACCACTTTCTCGTCACAGAGGAAGAATTTAGAGTGAGACGGAGAAACAGACAAATGTTGCTGATGTTCATGGCCCAAATGAAACAACAAAACGTACAACGCAGAAGAAGAGCTTGGGTTCGGCCACGTCCCCAGAACTGGTTCAAAACCTTACTGGCAAGTCCTGCGCTAAATTTTCTTTGGAAGAAACATTTCAAAGTCACCCGAGAAACATTTGAATACTTATGCGACCTTGTGAGAGCAAACCTGCAAAAGCAGCACACAAGATTCCGAGTCCCTGTTAGCTCGGAGGAAAGAGTTGGCCTAGCACTCTGGCGACTGGCAACAGGGAACAGTTACAGAAGTTGTGGGTTACAGTTGGGATTAGGAAAGTCAACAGCGAAAATCATCTGTAGTGAGTTCGAGCAAGCTGTTTTTGATCTAAAAGATTGTTTCATAACATTTCCTTTAACAAATGAGGAAATTGGAGAGAAAATTGAGGAGTTTGAGGAGCTGTATGGAATACCGCAAATAGTTGGAGCGATCGATGGGTGACGATTATTTTAATCGAAAGCAGCACTACAGTGTAAATCTACAGGCCATAGTCGATGCCAAATTGACGTTCATTCTTGCTACTGTTGGGTACCCTGGAAGTATACATAATGCTCGAGTTTTAAGGCTAAGTGGCTTGTACGATTTCGCCGAAAATGAGCAAATTCTTAGTGGTCCAATGCGAAATATCAATGGAACAGAAATCGGGTTTCTTTTAGCTGGATACAGTGCCTATCCACTCACAAACTGGCTCATGAAACCCTTCCCTGATAGAGGTCGTTTAACTGCCGAGCAGAGGAAATTCAATCTTAAGTTCAGCGCACTGAGATGCGTAGTCGAAAGAGCTTTTGGCATGCTTAAATCAAGATGGAGGATTATTTTGAAGAAAATTGAACAAAAAACGACAACTTTGAAGAGGACTGTAATTGCGGCTTGTGTTTTACACAATATTTGCATTGAAAGGGAGACCTACACGACGCAGACGATAGCGACTCAGACGATGGCTCTGATGATGACAACGGAGGGCGAAATGCTTTTGAAACCGGCAACAATATTCGAGATACGTTAAAAGACTATCTGTGGGAACACCTGTAAATTGATGATGCGGTAAACTTTTTATAGTCTTCTTTGCTGTTCCACATAAAAACGTGAAGCATAAATCAATCCCTGTTCTGTTACAAGGTTGTTTTTTCTTTACAACTTCAGATTATACATGAGTCACTGCCGGTACTAACATGATTAAATCAAGAGTGAAAATAATAACTTTTTTCTTGGATTGAACAAATGTGATGTATAAATCTCTAACGGTAAAGAAAGTTAACTCATTTTCTGCCCTACTTTGACAGCAAGTCTTTGAAAATAGGGACCTTAAGCAAGGACGACGAAAGACGAGGACGAGGACGATCCGGAAGTAATTTTGAACGAAAACATGTTTCTACGCATGTCAGGTTTTGCCCTCGCTGACGTCACTCGTCGTCTACCCAACGTCGAGAACGTGGAAAAGCTTGTTTTGACGTTCTGTGTCTTACGTAAGTATTCTTTTCAATATTTCTTCTCCTTTTACATGTTTTATCCTGCAAAAACCATATAATTATGGATATTAATTCCTTGTGCGAACGTTTATGTCGTTTATGGGTTCTAAATTGAAGTAAACATCCTATGTTTTCTCGTTTACTTATAAGGAAGGTGTGATGGCGTGTCAAACTCCCGCCGCAGGGTAAGGTTTGTAATCTTTTGTTAGCCCGTACATTAGGTTCCGTAAATTGAATTTAAAGTGGATTTTACCCATCGGTTTATCGCTATTTTCAGTCTTTCATTAACCAAATATTCCTTGATTATCTAACTTTCATGTGCGTGTGCAAGAACTCTGCAAAACTCTATCTCAAAGGCTCCAAAAACATTTGCAGATTTGTAGATTTATATTAACCGATTTCTCAAATTCAACTTTATTCATTGCTCAATTTGTGAGAATAATGTACCCGAGGTTGCTTAAAACTAGGATTAATGCCAGAGACAACTAGCAGATATCATTCTTTACTTTTAAAATCAATTCCAAGAGGTTTAATAACAGATCCGTGGATTGCTGACCTGCTCTAAAAAATCCATAAACTAAAAATGATTGCTAGTATTTATTCTAATTTTTAAATTTTAGAAATAAACATTGTAATTAATAGATGGTTATTGTCTCATGGAATAACAGTCAGAATTATTGAGGAGTAATAAAAATATATACAAGCAGAGTTGTTTGAAGCCTAATTAGCTCTTATCTAGGTCATTTCATCGTGATGGATGCGTATTGTTGTCGCCCAAGGGCATAAAGGTTTTTCTTTTCTAAAGTCACAACTCTCTTCTTTAGGAACAACTCCATGAAATGGACTGTGGAACATGACTTAACGCTTTGTGGAGAAGTCCTATTACAGGAGCCCTTCAAGCATCCAAAAAATAGTAAAGAGGGGGGAGAGGTTTGGTCAAATATAGCGGTCAATCTCAACAGTCTGGAAAATCCATCATTCAAAGTGTCAAAGAGATCAGTCAGAGACAGACTTACTTTATTGCAGACTAAGTACAAGGGAAAAGTAAGGGAAGAAGAAAAAGCATCTGGCATAGATTGCGAAGAGACTTCGCTAGATGCAGCAATTGAAGAGATTCTTGAGAAGGAAAAGGCAGCTGACATGGAAAGAAATGAGCAAAGTGGTACCCAAACCTTAAAGGAACAAAGAGAGAAGGCGAGTGCTGAAGAGGTTAGGCGCCAAGCCATGGAACGCCTTGGTAAAACCCAAAAAAGAAATGCAGATTCAGAGGAAGGAAAACCCAGTAAAAAAAGCAAAGAGAAGAAGCTCAGATGCTGTTGAATATGTCAAAGAGAAATTCGAGTTGGAAAGTCAGCTCAGGAGGGAAGAAATGGATTTCAAGAAAACTAAGCAGCAGATGTTGGTGGACCAACAGAGTCAAATGCACAAGCAGCAGTTAGAAATGATGAAGATGCTACAACAACAGAATCAGTCACTGGTGGCTTTATTGGAAACGTCTACGTGCACAAAGTGATTGAAACAAATGTCTGCATCTGAAAACGTTGTGTTTAATTAATATGTTGTATAAACTCTTAGTTGGAGAGAAGTCTATTTGCACAAAGTGACTGACACAAATGTCAACATTTTGAAAACGTGTTTAATTAATGTGTTGTACTAACTCTTAGTGGGAGAAATAACACACATGTTCATATGTCTTAGTTTTAGACTGATTAAAAAGACACTGGCCCCTCCCCTTTGCGAAACCCATATTTTGTTAAACTTTTTTACTTAAAGTGTGTGGGCAAATATAGAATTTCAAGTTTTCAAAAGTTTTAAACTACTTTTCTCTGCATATTTTTTGTGCCGCAGGAAACTTGCTACTTTATGTGGTATATTAAATTGTGCTTCACTTGTTTACATCTGGATCTTTTTTTTCTGCTTATGTTTTCAGCCTCAAGTCTAAGTAGAACTAGCATCTTAGTGACATAACAACAGAACAGATTAATATTTGTTTTGCATTCACGTTGTTGTGTTTCTATTCTGATCTTTTGTTGCTAGTGCAACTAGCTATAATTTTAGTAAGGCGAAAAATCATTCACACCCCTCCCCTTACCATGGGTGGTTTTCTGATTCACAGGTCTGCCCTGTGCCCTCCCCTTTTGAAAATGTCAGTTTAGCTTCCTTCATACTTAGGCTTTTATCACATTATCCTCTTAGTTTTTCAACTTACACAAATCCCAGGTGGTGTTTCTGGGTACTGGAGAGCATATGCAGCTTCCAGCTGCCATGACCCAATTTTAAAAGTAATATCAAAACATGTGGAGTAATTAGGAAAAGTAGTCTTCAAGTGAAGGAGGATCCAGTTGAAAAAAACTGGAGGTCTGATTTCCATAGAGGCATGTAAGGGCATTTCTTAGGAGAGCACTGACTACATACATTTTGCCCACACTACTGAGACCAATTTTCCAATTTTTTTTAAAGTCCAGAAACGTAAAGTAGTTTGTGACATCATTAAATAGCCATTCTACTGATTCTCTGACACTACTCATCGATCGATTGAAATCCATCATTTGAGGGGTTAAGACTCTATTCCTAAAAGGGGCTTGAAGGTGTATCCATAAAGGGTATGCCGGATCACCATAAATGCAGTATGGATTTCCAAAAGGGGAGTTTGCAAATGCTTGGAGGTCATTAAGGAGTCTTGAATCTGCCAGCATGCCTGCATCGTGTCTTCTTCCTTCTGAAAATTAGAAAAAAAAAATTAAAACTAATCATCAAAGCAGAAGAAATCAAAGGTACCAATTTCATACCTACTGGTCCATATAAATGACCTATCAGACCGTTGGGAAGGGCAACACACTGAAATTTCAGAGCATGTATTCTTTTGTGCCCGTTATAGACCACTCTTTGATGTTCTCCAGGTTTGCAAATTTGACGAATAGTCCCATCAACAAAGCCAAAACAGTTGTCTAGGGCTGAACCCTGGGCAGCAATAGTGTCGCTATACAGTTGCAGCAAGGGCTGAGAGAGAATTTGGTGATTCCACTGAGTGATTCTGTGGCCGTGAATGTCATATATATAGTCGAGTACTTGATTGCTGACCATACTAAGGACTGGTACTGGTCTGCCGAATCGTGGAATAATATCACTGAATCTGCAGGGATAAGATAACCTTCTAAGAAGAACACAAAGTCCTTCCATTCCACTTGTTACGGTTCTTTGGTAACAAGTAAAACTGTCTGGTATTTGAAGGACCTCGGCGAGAAGTGGAAGATCGTGTTTTCTGAACCTGAACTCGGCCAAGCACTCTGCATCGTTCATATCATCAAGAGAAAACCTTTCGTACTTCTCATAGCAAAAGTCGGGATTTTTTGGCCAATACTCCTCGTACAAAATCAGCAGCTCTTCGTCGTCCAAAATGCCATGAGCGTGACTTAAGAGAAAAAGCTCTTGAAGCTCATGAAAATTAACCATTTTACCAAAAAACTGCAGCGCTTTTGTTTACGTTCACGTCGTACGTCGAGCAAAGCTGAAGTTTTTATTTTCCTGCCTTTTCCTTGCCGTACAATCCGTCGTCGTCGTCCGCTTCGTCGTCGCTGCTTAAGGTCCCTAATGTCTTTAAAACCTGTAAGTATAGCGTTTGTTTGATCCATTTGCTTGTTCTGGGCCTCGTGAAACATTTTAGCAGAACGTTCAAATCTCTCGTTATCTTGTTTAATACTACGCTTCCACATTTCCATAACGGCTGTCTGGAATTCACCTGCAGAAGATCCACTCGGTTCTGGCTCATCTCGACGCCGTCGTTTTCCCTTACGGCAACTCTTTTCTGCGGGCTTGCCGTCTGCCTTCTTTTTGCCAGAGTGGGTCCTCGAATTTGAGGCTGGTGGACTGCTTTCCTCCGCAATATCTTTACTTTCTACTAACCCTCCTTTCTGCTCTGTACTAGTAAAGATGGAGCTTCCCTTCAACGGCCATTTTTGTCGGATTTACGCAGTCGCGATGCCCCATTACTTCGTCAAAATAATCAAAATATGGAAAGCCATCTTTGATGATTTTTATTTCAGCTTCTCCGGTCTTCTGAGTTCGCTGTTTTAGGTGTTTATACTCGTACTCCAAATTCTGTTGGCGTTTCTTGATCTGTTGAAGGGTTCTGTGACTCTCGGGAAAGGCATTCTTGTAAGATGAATAAATTTCATTCCATATTTTTATCTTTTCCTTTTGAGAGGCGCTTCGAAGCTGGTTATACCTGGGCCCCCAAGCTTCCAAAAGATCTTGAGTCTCGTTGTCAGTCCAATCAGCCGACTTCGATCGAGCTTTCTTTGTCTTACCCTTTGGCCTTTCCTCCTCTGACTGTAAAGATGAAGTGCTTGCAGCCCTTGCAGTTGCTACAGAGATGGGCGATTGCGCTCTTGACACGTCAGAGATGTTTTGGATCGTGCTGAGCTGAGATGAATCTTCAAGTTGCTGTTCATGAAACTGCATACGTGTCAACTCGGACGGCCGATAAAAAGAGTTGCTGGTCGAAGGAAAGGGCAATAACTGGCTACCACCCATAGGCGGTTGTAAATGCTCAGGAGAATTTACTCGGCTTGCAAAATGCTGGTTCCAGTTGTTTCTGTTGAAGAAGACACGAGTGCAGGTTAATTGCGTGAGCTTCTGGGCCTGCTGCGCAAACTTAATAAATTTCACTCTTAAATTTACAAAAACGTGAATACTTACATAAGACCTTGGTCTAAATAGTCGTCATCCATGGCTTGGTAAGAGGATCTAAACGGATTCATTTCGCGATTAAATAAGCTAACAGGCAATGCAATCGACAGACAACGTTTGCGTGTTGGCGTGCTCTTATGTTGTGATTCTCCTGCTTTTAACATGTTTGATTGACGTATCTTTGCGGAATGTGTCTAGATAAAGCGTAAGTTAGCTGGTAAGGATAGTTGAAACTAGACTTGAGAGTGTACTTCGGTTTCTTTGAAGTCAACGCATTACCATGGGCACAAAGTAGGCTACTTGAGTTGAAATTCGACCCGTTCACATCTAAAGTAAGATTCAGGTATACTTAAGGTCTACTTACTTCACTAGTATGAACCCGCCTATAGACTGGGTTTAAGGACTAAATATTATTTTTAAGAAACGACAAAACGTGCACGGGAGTGAAACATGCGCGTCTTCACTCGGACATGGTCGCCCCAGTCTCCCCAGTCTCCCAGTTTTTCAACATACCCATGAGTACAAATTACGTCTGGTAACTGATTTTTTTATTTTCTTTCATTGCTCCAATGTGCACTGCAAATTACATGTTTCCGCCAGTTTACAATGTCGTTCATGAGAACTTTTGCATAGCCTTTTTGCAATTCTGGATCAGTTGGCAACGTAAATACTTGACCTCCTTAGTGCGAAAAGAATTTGTGCACAAAGCAGTTACACAATTCCAGTGCCATCCTGAAGTTTTCTTGCTGTGCGTGACCGCCATTTTGGAGACCAGCTCACTTCCGTTCGGCAAACAACTAAAGTAGGTTCAAGGTCCCCAAAGTATGAACATGGGCAATGGTGCGTCAACTCTTTTGTCTGTGGTGTTTGAACCTGTTGCCGTTTGTTTTGCCCCACCTTTCAAAATAATTGATTTATGTACTGCCATTATTTAGTTCTGATTTATGTCACCCTTTCAGCAGCTTCAAGACTAGTCAGAAGTGTTGACTTTGTACAATTTTCTCCAAAATAATCTGTCCGAATAATTACTTACGTAATAAGCGTGTTTTTATCTGTTACATCTGCTGCCATCCCTTGAAATAAAGCTAACTTTGAAATGAATAAATGACAATAATATATCTTAGCTTATAGTTAAATATGGTAGTTAAAGTGAATGTTTAGTAATCTAAGTTAATTGAAATTCTTTAATTATGGCTTTGTTTTGATTTTACTAAAGAAAACAAAAACAACTGAGTTTGGTAATTGAACACGCCCAAAGGTTCATCAACTTCGATTGTATTCAACAGCTGGACAACGCAAAGCTCGATTGTCAGATTTGTCAATATTATACACCATTGATCACACTGGGTGCCGTGGATGTTTGCGTGAGATCATCCTTTGTAACTATTATTACATGATAGTCCACTTTAATTGTAGCATTGTTAATAGCACTAACCTTTTGGTTGTTTTTTCCATGCAGTGACCACAAAAGCGTTGTACCACCTGGAAGAATACTTCACACGAACATTTTGGCCTTTCGTCCGGCTACGGGAAAAGGTGGATCAATATTCTTTCACCCGATGGGCGATTCACGTCCCCCTTCTAAACTATGAGTGCATGCACTGCATGCATGCTGCAGCCATGTTTCTCAT